ATACACACCCACGTAGGTACCACCATGTCAGCTATAATGCCGCTCACCAGCCCCCTGACGAGACAGATCCATGAGTGTAGTGAATGAGATGGGATGTGTAAGTGCGTATACGGGTGGGAAAAGTACGTCTGATCGCTCCTCTGAGTGCACTAACCAACGACAGTGAATGGGTGAAGTAAACACACCCGACATAACAACAGCTGCCTATACTCGTGGGCAGTGTATAGCCGGACACGCCCTGTATACGTCTTTCTGAAAAACGCAACATACGAAGCACTCCGCAGTGAAGTGGTCATGTGATACACAATCTTGGCGCGCTCGACCCTTGTCTTCCGTATATAGTGCTCCTCGATGAATTCGCCCAGACTTCGAAAGTTCTTAAGCAGTTGTTAATCGTGACCGTCATCCTAGATATCGATATCAGATGTATATATATATTTAATTTTCGTATATATATATATATATATATATATTAATATTAATATTAATATATATATATATGTATACATATACATATACTATATATATGTATATATATATGTAAACATATACATATACTATATATGTATATATATATATACATATAAAGTAGTTACACACACACACACATATATATATATATATATAAATATATATATATATAGACTACCTGACACACAATTATTGAGTACATTGATGCATACCTCGTTGTCATTAGACCGGCGGGCGAACAGAATCTGCATGCAGTTGACAAGTGTAGCGGTTTTGACCACTAAATCGCGCGTCTGCGCTATTAACGGATCCAGCAACTCGTCGCCTAAGGCCAATAAAATCATTAGAAGGGGTCAATCAAGGGTCAGTGTATCGTTTGAGATCATTATATTCATTATAAGGGTCAACTAGAGATCAATATATACTTTATAACGGAGCAATTTTGGACCAATATGTACTTTAATAAGGGTCAACTAGGGATCAACTTATCCATATAAGAGATAAATTAGGGATCAATACATTCATTATAAGACGTCAAATCAGGGGTCAATGCATTCATTTCAAGGGGTCAATTTGGGGTCGGTATATCTATTATGAAACCTCCACTAGAGGTCAATATATCTAGTTCTTACAGCGAAAACACTCAAGCTTGATAAGCTGGATGCCCAATGTTTGTGCTACTCGACCGATATATAGCTATGATATATAGTCAAGCAAAATAACCCAGACAGGATTGCAACCGCTCACAGCCAACAAGCACACGCGCAAACGGACGCACTCACACTTGGTAGTCGTACAGCACCCGCACACACAGTTGCACGCACACATACTCTGTGGCTGTATGGCATCGGGCAGGCCCAAGTGCTGTGTCTGCACACCCTTACTGTACAAAGACAGATACCTGAGCGCCTCCTCCATATACAGTGCCTGTCGCATCATGCGGTGTTCCCATTGGGCGTATATGGCATCGGTGTACGATTCGGACGATGGTTCGTCGTCGGCTGAAAAGGGTTTCCAGCCGCGTCTTGATTGCAATTCAATATAAGAGATGCAACAGTGTTCAGTAGTTTGCCTTGACTGTTCGATAACAATAACCA